TTACATCAAGATACACCCTTACGTAACACACGGCTCAAGGAACGTATTCCAGTCCCTGCTATATATGAAACACCTGAATAGTGAGGAGGAGACGATAGTGAAGAAGGCTGTCCAGAGAAATGCATACTTCGCCCACACAGTTCAACTTCTTCTTGGTATGTGTGCAGATGAGGACATGACTGTTAGAGAAAAAGCTGTCTCAATGATAAGAAAAATTAGAGAGGAGAATCAGCAAAGGGAAGAATGCACTGGCAGATCTGAAGAGGAGGAGGAAGAAGATTCTGATGCTGCTGTTGACGAGAATTTGTTAAATTATACTGATGAGGAGGGTAAAGATGGAGATGGGAATGAGGATGTGCCTCCTGTAGTCAACATGAGAAAGGTGGTGACTCCGAAACTAAAGTGGCAAGCAAAAAACTATCATTCCATGATTAACTGGAGGAATGAACTCAAGACTGAGCCTCCTTACATTGCTTCTCTGTCAAATTTACAGGTTAATGACATTCTTGAGACACCATTAGTGGTGCCCAAGTGGCCAAACAGCACTCAGGCGGTCGAGAGAGGCATAAAAGTGATGACTGAAGCTTGCACTGAAGTGACGGGATACGAATCGAGAGATGGATATATTAGGCAAAGATTATTGTCTTAGAAAATGATGCCAAGGTTCCGCACAAAAAAGAATTTCAATATGAACTTGTAATGATTTTCTATACGGTGTACCTGTAAAATAACATGTGAATTAAATCGATGTCACCCATGTAAAATTTATCATTATCCTGGAAAACATTAAATGACACCTAATTTTTGGTATACACTAAAAGTTGACAAAGTCGTTCGCGATGCGGCAGGGTAAGTATGCATGAAATGGCATGAAATTTTGCACAGGTGTTTGTTACAGCCATACAAACGATGCCTGAAAAGTGCAGCCTGCAACTCAAATAAAAGTGTTTTTTCCCTGCCCCCTATAGTGCTGTCACTTGGTACCCCTGTACCATAACACCAGAAGCAACTGGCCAGTGTCACAAGTATATACAGTACAGTACAATCATCCCTTGGTTATCGCGCCTAATTGGGACCCCGCCGATAATGAAAGTACAGAACCTATGGGATTTATTCTTATTGGTTCCAGGCACCCAAGACCCAACCCCAAGTTTCCCATTTTACGACCATTTAGACCCACTAAATATATATATATATATATAATGTTATAGTAAATATCATAAACACACATAGGCATGGCTAGGTTTATTACAAAGTGATGAAAAGGGTACGCTTAATACTGTAGTCCACAAAACCTGTAGCTATGCTTTTTTATTTGGTCACCCGTCATATGAGTCCGTTTTCTCTCACATCAGGATGACTGAGTCCTACGTCTTCTCTTAATCTTAGAGTGCACCAGAGACTTCGCTATTCCTTAGTAATGACACAGAATTTGAAATTGCAACCCCAATTGCAACTGGGGTTGCAATTGTTGAGGCAACTGGATTTGTCTGATTACAGTAAATGTGTTATTGTCAATATGTAGGTGAAAGATTTTATCCTTAATAGATGTAGGTTAACATTACACCTGGAGGCAAATGCTTAAAAAAAGCCTAAGGAAGGAAGCATATTCCTTTAACACATAATATCTGACCAGTATGGGGAGACTATCGTTCCATTAGGGGCCGGATGGGTCCAGCAGGCGGCCGAATTTTTTGGGGGAGGGGGGGAGGGGGGGACAATGATATGCGATCGGACGTTGTTCAGTCGGACGTTAACCGGCGCATGACTGTATACTGTACTGTACATAGAAATTCTAAAATGCGTCTTTTTCTTCTCAGCACTACGAGAACTCTCACTTTTACGGTAGCCAGACATTTTAAAGGGAATTACAAACAAAAATTTTGTCAGTACACAGCGCGATCACTAACATCGGGACTCGAAAATACGTAAAGTGAAAAATATTTTATACAACCTTGGCCGTCGTATGTCCGGGTTGTCTTAAGTCGAATATGTCGTAAGTCGAGGAGAGACTGTACAGTAAGTCCTCCTCCGATGCGTATTTCCCCATCACAGATTCATTTATACAGTACATGCAAAAATACTTGCAACCAATTATTTCCTGAATGTGAAAAATTCGAGTACAATGGTTAACGAACACAATTCATTCCAGAAGGTTGTTCGTTAACCAAACATATTGTTTCAATGGGATATTGGGTAATTGGTTCCAGCTCACAGAAAAGTATATACAAAGTAAAGCCAAAAATGCATAAAGTCAGAAACACTCATAAAATTCCCATAAAATCGCCCTTAAATAACTATATATAACGTACATATACACTAGAAGTCTTAAATCACTACTGTAATGTGATACAGGTGATTAATTTTATCTCTTGTGCAAAATATATGAAGTTTATACAGTATTACCCCGCCTAACACGGTTTCACTTAACGCGTTTTTTCATATACGCGGTGCCTCGCCAGAGCTGAACTTTCACTTAACACGGATTTTTTCCACATATACGCGGTGAGTGTCCGGCTCGAGACGCTATTTTTAGATTTGCCCCACCCGCCACCCTGCCTGACTGCCTGTTTTAGCTCATAAAATTCATACAAATTACCCGGTCAGAATATAATTTACATTGCTGGAATTCTCATAATTTGATGATCATTTTGAATATAAACATCATATATTTTGCATTAGACATACAAATTTTAGATAAAATGTATTCTCTTGTAAATATGTTATCTTTTGTGCAAAAATATATGACGCTATATTCAAAATATTCCTGGTCTTACAAGGAATCCAGCAATGTCAATTGTATTATCCTAACTTTAGTTTGAGGTATTATTTATTAAAATTTAGTGGTTTTCCCCCAAAAATTTCTCAGAGAGGGAAGAGCCAGCAGTGTAGTGTGAGAAGAGGGGGAGGGAGTTGAGTCCATTATTTGAATGGACATTAACTTGGCGACTGTATTTCTCTATTTCTCTTAAGTATTAATTGTGTGCATGTACCATCATAAAATTAAGATGTTATTTTTACTACAACATAGTTATGTGTCTTCAAAAAGTGGAGTTTGGGGGTCGGGCCGGTTTCTATTGGAATTAATCCCGTATGTTTTGTTGTTCACTTAACGCGGATTTCACTTAACGCGGGACCCTCTGGGTTCTATTGACCGCGTTAAGTGGGGTACAACTGTATTCAAATTATTAGTTGTCTTGCAAGGATTTCAGCAATGCAAATTATAATCTCCTAACTTTAGTCTGAGATATATAAGATAAACATTTTAAAGCCTAAAGAAAACACAAAACTTTTGTCTGGGAAGGCAGGGGTAGGGAGGGAGGGAGGGAGCCAGCGAGAGTGGGAAGAGGGGGGAGCGGGAGGTGAGGTGACAGATAGTGTCTGGTGAAGTATAATTTGTTTATTTACTTGAGATTTTTGTTTTTAGCTCATAAAATTCATAGAAATTACCCCGCCAGAATAAAATTTACATTGCTGGAATTCTTATAAGATAATGATTAATTTGAATATAAACAAGCTAAAATTTGTATTAGACATACAAATTTTAGATCTAATTTAAGAATTTTATTAGAGGGAGCAAAAATTTTATCTTTTGTGCAAAATATATGACGTTTATATTCAAATTATTCGCTGTCTTGCAAGGAATCCAGCAATGTAAATTATATTCTCCTAACTTTAGTGTGAGGGAATATTACTAAACCTGTAAGCCTAGTCCTTTTCCCCAAACATTTCTCGGGAAGGTGGGGGTAGGGAGGGAGGGAGGGGGGAGCCAGCGAGCGTGGGAAGAGGGGGATGGGGGGGGGCGGAAGTTGAGTCCATTATTTGAACGGGCATTAACCGGCGACTGTATTTCTCTTAAATATTAATTGTGTGTGCATACCATCATGAAATTAAGATGTTATTTTTACTACAACGTACGAATTGTTTCGGAAAAAGGGTAGTCTGGGGTCGGCCCAGTCTCTATTTCAATTAATCCCATTTGTTCTGTTATTTTGTTTACGCGGACCTCCATGGGTTCAATTGACCGCGTAAATCCAGACTATACTGCGCACGCACGCGCACACACACACAGAGCATGTCTGGATAATTTTTGGATTTTTATTTTGCGGTCCTCTATTATTCATGGATGACACCCTGGATGAGCCCAAGAATGTCTGCGGGTAGTTTCAAAGTTGCCGGCATTTTCACGGCCAGTCCGGGGAGCGTGCGAGTTTTGTGGCGCCTCGCAAGGTGTCTCTGTTGTTCCGGGAAGCTGGCTTATGCGCGCTCACTCCGTCCCAGTCCAGCATAAACACTTGTCCGTCTCACGCGTGTGCTCCTTAACTCTCGTAACAACTGTGCTCCTCGTGCTTGTGATGGCTCTGAACGCTCTCAACCACCTTCATCCAACTGCGGGAAGGTGTCCAAACAAGTGAAGAGAGAAAAGTAAGTCATGACCCAAGTAGAGAAGATACAACTGCTGGTCAAATATAGGAGCGGCCAAAGCTTTGCCGTGTGTGGCCCACAGTATGGCATCAATGAAACAACTGTCCGTCAAATTAAGAAGAAAGAGAAGGAAATAATACACGGCATTTCAACATAGTGACAGTGCAAAAAGGTAAGATTGGCTGGGAGTGATTACATATACTGGTTGATTACAAGTTGTTGATAGTTTTTATAATGGTTGGGACTGGGTTGTTCTTATAGCATGTGTTTGTCCTAAGGGCAAACACCATGTGGGAATATAAATTTTTTTGTACAGAAGTAAAAATGCACCCCCCCAAGCAAATGTTATTCGCAGATTTGTATATTCATGGCCATCTGAGAACCTAATCCCAGCGAATTTGAAGGGCATGCCGTCAAGGAAGAGTGCGAGAAGACTAGACAACTCGCTAACTGTACTGGCTAACCATTACCCCAGAACACGATCCACAAATTGATTAACATCCAGGTTCCCAATTACTGCTGGGTAGACAGAGGCAAATGGTGTAAAGAAACTTGCCCACACACACAAGCACACACTATAGTACCTTTTTTGTTGCAAAGACTGGAGCAATTGGGAAATCAATGGGGTCAGTGGCAGCATCACAAAATCCTACAACACGAGCAAGAGGCTTCACACCATGACGGTCAGCAGCCTGGGCTGTCATCAAAACACAAGCAGCTGCTCCGTCATTCAGAGTAGAAGCATTCCCAGCAGTTACTGTGCCTCCCTCACGCTGAAAAATTCCACAATCATAAATAAGAGATTTTTTTTTTTACACATGGGTATAATTTTAGTGACCACTGTTAAAACCATTAACCCATTAGGGGTGGGATATTTTTCCATGCCACTCTCCAACATGACTGAGTTTTTCAAGAAAAAGATATTTGACCACTCTTATGATAAAAGATTAGATACAGTACATTTAACATGGGAACCAATGAACTTACCTGGTTTCTGGACTTTCATAGAGAACTACATTTAATGGGAAAGATATGTGTAGCTTCCTCTTCCTACCATTTACACATTGTTGTTGTCACTCATTTATATTTCATTAAAAGTTTCATCATTCCTGTATGGCACAATAGTATGAGGCACTTGGTGGATAACCAATGTCCCGGTATTCCCCGATCGGGGATGTCCCCGTCTACAATAATTTGGTTTAATGATGCAGATATACTAAGACCACTCCCCTATTTGCAATATAAACAAACTTGTTCAGTATTAACAATATTTATCATCCTCCCAACTCAGAATATGGAACGCATAACTTTCTTCATTTGTCAGCTGAGGCGTCCTCTACCCGAACGCTGCTTCATGCCCATCTGGTGAACTACAGTCCAGGAATTGTTATTATTCGGTGTGTGTGTGTGTGTGTGTGTGTGTGTGTGTGTGTGTGTGTGTGTGTGTGTGTGTATGTGTGTGTGTGCGCAAGTGTGTGTGTGTGTGCAAGAATGGGGCTCAATGTTGGTTATTTAAAATAAGGCCAATTCACTTCAAGTATTGGCATCAAATTTTACCGGATGGTGTACAGTAGTCTAAAAACTTGTGACTCACTTAAGCGTCTGTTATTTAACTGGAACTAATGTCGGTGTGAGTAAAATTTTTCCATTTACTTGAAATAGATTTACCAATTTATTTGTTTATTTATTTATTTATAACATACTGTAATATATTAAACACACTGCAAGTATTTTCTTTAATTTATATACTTGTTTCGCAAAAAAGGGAGGCTACCATTATACCTGGTAGGTGAAGTTGACCAGACATTTATGGTGATCATTAAAGACCAAACTCCGAATCCATGACGTGACTTCTGTTCATCATTTATATCCTAAATTTACCACTGTCGGTAGTTTCAAGAATTAACGCAGTCATTTACTGAATATTCTTTGCAAAAAAATAAATTTTAAATTAATTATTTATAGAAGATAAGTATTATGATCAGTAAATATACAGATATGCATTACTGACCACCTCCGAACACAAGGACGGCTAAAAATAGCCACAGGCGGTCACAGTCAAGGTCACTTTCCCTTTCTTGTCTCCTCACTGGCAAATGAGGGGATGATAGCAGCTGTGTTTATTACCAGGGGTATATTGTTCTTTTACGGTATGTTAGACAGGTTTATAATACATTTTTATTATTTTAATATACCGGTAATCTTAATTTGAATCCAGCTTGCCAAACGTAAGTTTCAGTATAAAATAATTAGTGGTAGGACCTTGTGAGTGGCTTACGATGTTTCCATCACCACTCTTGACACACTAAACCACAATACAAGAGAGGACTTACAACTTATATACCGATTACCGTATAACATATAGATATGAATTAAAAAAATATTATTATTATTTTTTAAATGACACGCATTTTCTATACCGAAACGTTTCCAGTTAATGTAGTCTCCATGTATAATTAGAAAATTATGGGGGCCCCATGTGCATTCAGCTGACTACATTAAAGGTTAAGTGCTCAGTCACACTGTATCCATTCCTTATTATTTATTACTTTCACTGTACTGTATCCATTCATCATTATTCATTACTTTTACTGTACTGTATTTCATTGTAGATTTTTATTAAAAATTTTTTTTTTTTTTTTTTATCTATGTGGGACTTACGACCATGTCGGACTTACGACCTGGATTTGGGTCCCTAACCCCGTCGTAAGTCGGGGTCTAGGTGTATTTGAGAGGTAAGAATTTTATATCTGGTGCTTAAGACGACCCCCTAACTTTGGGCTGATTTTTTTTATGGTTCCAATTCCGTCTTATAGGCCGAGATATACGGTAACCGGAAAAGGTTCTGGGGATAAAGAATTTTTCCGGGTTTGAGAAAGTCATCTGGTTAGCCGGAAATCTCTCATCTCCGGAAGTGCTCTGCACCAATTGTTCCGGCTAATGGAGATATCACTGTATATTTTTTTATTGTTGATGAAATATTCTATTAATCACCTTGTTATACACTTAAAGACCTTAGTAGGTAGGTAGTAGGTATGCTACCAAATAGGGAGGTACTACTGCCTGGGAAGATATTGAAACATAATGTGTTGTCTAATGGTAGACCCTGCTGCCATATGGCATCACGAAAATTGTGACAAAGTCCCAGGTTGCTTATCTGACTTTCTGCCTCATTTACACATAATTGCAGGGTCTCAATTTTTCTCTTACTTTGACAACACAACATGCATAATGCATATACAGTATTGTTTTTCACTTTTGATCTTTTCTTAATTTTTGTATTTATGGTTTATTATTATTATTATTATTACAGTGTTGTTATTACTATTACAATCATTATTTTTGTTTGCCATGGACAACAGAACGGCAGTGTTTTGTCTCAATCATCAAGGCTCAACCAGATCTTGGCCCCTTCTCAAAAAAAAAAAAAAAAAATCAAAGTTTGTGTAACACAAACACTTTACCTCAAAGCAACTCACATACCGGGAGTATAAAACAATTGGGCAGATGTGTTGTCCCATCTAAGGCCAGTATCGACGGAAACAGAATGGTCCCTAAAGATATCCAAGTTCAAGAGTCTAGTGAGGAGGTTTGGTACTCCAAAGATAGATCTCTTTGCCTCAAAAAACAATCACAAGATGCCAACTTATGCATCTCTGGAGCGATCAAATCTTTTAAGAAATGCTCTACTCATAGATTGGAACCGTTGGAATTCAATCTATCTGTTCCCACCTGTGAAAATGTTGCCCAAAGTGGTTCACAAACTCAGATCCTTCCAAGGCAAGGTCCTCTTAATTGCACCATATTGGATCCTACAGCCGTGGTGCCTGGATCTGTTGGACTGGTGCCCACATCCACTACAATTGCAACAAGGATGTCTAGACCAGGTACTGCACCCTCAGTTCGAGATATCCTTGGCACTTCACGCTTGGTGTTTCTCAAAAGATGTTTAAATAGATTGTTGGGTAATTCCAATATAGTTAACCAAGTGAGAGCAGGTCATAGACACCAAACTTCTATGCAATATGAGAAAGCTTGGAAACTTTCTCAACAATTTATCAGATTAACAACTCCAATCACATTGTCGGAAACAGTGGTGTTAGAATTTTTAGATTTTCTGTTCAGAGTTAAAGGCCTTCAAGGATCGACAATTGCATCTTATAAGCCAGCATTGGTTGACCCTCTGGCGTGGGTTTTTAATATTACTTTGAACCCAAGAATTTATCAAATGCTCAGATCGTCCTTTTTCCTTCAGAGACGTAATGGTAAACTATTTCACTGTCCGTGCAAATAGAATATTAACATTACTTTTGCAGGGGTGGATACAGAGGGGTCCTGGCAGAAAATTCCAATGTTTTATCTCTAATGCAGTATTGTATTCAGGCATTTTTGTATAGTAAAAAGTAATTACTATTGACCTCAGAATATCTCTTAATATCAGGTGCACATGGCTTCAAAATGCCCATGATATTGGTTAGATTTAAAACAAAATTATGTGGGTCTTACAGTGCCCCTCCCCCCTCAAAACCCCCAGCTGGGTGGGGTCACTATGCTCGCCATGTTCCCCCACCCACAACCTTGTGGACCCAACCCTTTTGAGATTCCTGGATCCACCTCCATTTCGGGTTAGGTAGGATATAAATTTATGGTGGTTGTCCCGAAAAAAAATACTTAAATCGTAATGCAACCAATAACCGAGGAATGGTTGCCCAAGCCTGCACTCTGCAATTATTGTGTCCTTTTATATGACTTTGTACTTCAATTGTAGGTTTTTTGGGGATAAAGTCTGGATGGTCCAAGAAAATATTTCACCATGTTATAATGGGTTCTCCTATCAGAATCCTCAATCATGGTTTTGTTATGTAACATATTCTGCACGATTAGCGAGGGGATCCTGTACAGTATTATGTAATTTATTTTGGGCTTAGTGAAATATTAGATGTTGGCAAGACTTATATTATTTTCCTCATTTATTTAACTATGGAAGCTCCTGTACTGTATCTTAAAATTCGTTCCTTAACCCGTTCACTTTGTTTCGCACACTTGCCATTCTATTCTGGCTACCACCAGACGATTTTATTCAGCTTAGGGTAACCTCCCGCAGCCAAAGGGTTACGGTAATTATGGATCACATTTTCGTAAACTTCAGCAACTCAAGGGATACATATAGTAAAGCTCCCATTCATTTAAAGCAACTAAGACTTACCTGGAAAACTGTGGGAAGTTTCTTAAATTTCTCAAAATTAACTTTCTTATATTCTTCATCTTCCTTCACCACGGTGTTGGGTTTGCCACGCTTACCAGGCACTGTCACTTCTACCACTTCATTATGGATAGCCCCACTTGCCCAGGCCTCTGAAGACCTTTTGTAACTCTGTATACCTGAGTAAGGAGTGGGAGGCATAGTTAGCAGGTTTTAATATAGTTATGTGATGGAAATGATAATGTAATGGTACTACAAGAAAATTTTAGCAAAGATAATCCAGCACATTAGTGGAGAAGAGAATATAAAGTTAAAATATTTTAAGGCCCTGGAACACATGAGAGTATATATTTCCCAAGTCATGATGTAGTCCAACAAGCTACTGTGAATTGCAAGCATCATGAACTGTAAATCAATTGGGCTCAAATATCATCTTAAAACTCATGTTAACCCCCAAAATAATTGTTACTATCAATTGTTATAGAAAATGAACATTCCTAAAAATATATAATAATGATTAGTAATAGATATGTGGCATAAATGAATAATGCGTACTATATTAACCTGCAGGAGGTGGTCCTTATGAATCACCTACACCAAAGTCAATCTACCTAAATGAAGCCACAGCATATCCAAATACAGAATGCTTATGCAGATTATGACCTTTGTAACCTTAAGTATAGTAAAATCACCATATGGACTCTATCAAATGTGTACACCAATGTTGACTACCCAGTAAGTCAACTCACAATTTGCAATACAGACGATATATCTTTATCAACGCTTTTTACTGTTTAACAACAATGTAGTTCAGCCAAAAAGATAAGTTAGGCAAGGTAAAAATTTTCTTTCTTGTGACTGAACTACATACAGCATAATAAGCTGTAATTAATAAAAGTTGTTAACATCTCAATACAGTGGTCCCTCAGTTAACAAACAAAACTTCGATTAACAAAATCCTTACGAACAACACGTTTTGTTGCGAGCATTAGCTGATGGGCTAGTCTGTCAATTCAGTAATCTGTTTTATGTTTACATTCGTTTCCAGTGGAGTAAATATCAAGAAAGTTGTGCTCATTAATATTTTTCCATTTTTTACATTAAAATTATAAGTCATTTTAAAATTTAGTTAACATATTGATAATATATGCAGTACAGGGAAATATATTTTTGTGCGCCCATCAGCCGCTTGACTCAGCCACCAGACGTCAGTCTGGCTTTGTTGACAGAGGAGTGAACATCTATTTTGTTGGGGTTTTGAAAATTTTTGCATTTTTACATTGAAATTATTGGTCATTCTATATACTTTGTTTTAACATATTGATAATGTATAGCGCAGTGCAGTGTTGATTTAAATAAAATAATCTTGAATTACACCTAGTGAACTCAAAATTTTATTGGTGAAATGACGGCATCAAGCATGGGTCCCCTGAAAGATGATTTCTCCTCCATCCCCACTTCCTTCTCTTCTCCCTTCTCCTCCACCCCCACTTGTAATTCCCATCATCATCATCAACCAGGAGCCTTCTACATACACACCTCAAAGTAAGTGTACTTTACTGCATTTTTTTTATACTTTGTATGTACTTTTCTGTGAGCTGGAACCAATTGTCCAATATCCCATTGAAACAATGGATTCGGTTAACGAAATTTTCGGTTAACAAACGACTCTGTGGAACGAATTGTGTTCGTTAACCAAGGGTTCCACTATATTTAGGATGTTGTGTGCATGTAAATGAATAAAAATAAATGGAGAAAGTTACGTATATCTACCCAAAAATACGAGTTGAAAAATTTGTACTTAAATGTACTACTGTACACTAAAGAACCAAAATTTTTATCTCTTGTGCAAAATATATGATGTCTATATTCAAATTATTTGTTATCTTGCAAAGATTCCAGCAATTCAAGTTATATTCTGCTAATTTTAGTCTGTGACACTTTATAAGATAAAAGCTTTAAACCTAAACCTACCTTCACTCTGTTTTGGGAATGCTTCTTAGGGAGGCTTCTTATCCAGAACCCCCAAATTTTTTGTCTGAATCTTCCAAAATTCGGGTCCAGATTCTTTCTTATTTAAACCAACACTGCACTTTATATTATCAATATGTTAACTAAATTTCAGAATAACCAATAATTTTAAAGTAAAAATGCAAAAAATATTCAAGAGCACAACTTTCTCGGTGTTTACTCCACTGGAAACAAAGGTAAAAATAGAACCGATTATTGGCAGATGAGTCGATCAGCTGATGCGCGCACCAAAACGTTTTTCTCGTAAGGCTGTCGTTAATAGAATTTGTACTCGTTAATAACTGAAAGTCCTTACGGGAGGTAACTCGGTAACTGAAATCTCGTAAATTGAATCACTCATTAATGGAAGGTCCACTGTACAGTACATTACTTCATGATGTGCTACCTACCACCTGCAAGTACAGTCCTTCAGCTTCAAAATGAATCCAAAGTGAATGCTGTATCTCAAAAAAAAAACAAAGTTATACATGTTTAAAGTTGGAAAAACTTTAAATGCGGTTTTCTTAGTTTCAAATTTTGGCGCTAATAACCCATACGATGCGGGGCACCTCAAGTGAGCTAATGTCCGTCTGTGCAAGATGTCTAGTTTATACACTCGGAAACTTTTCCCAGTAGCCGGAAAAGATTCCGAGGATAATGAATTTTTCCGGGTTTGAGAAAGTCGTCTGGTTAGCCGGAAATCTCTCATCCCCGGTAGTGCTCTGCACCAACTCTTCCGGGGATATCAGGTTAAAATGAGAATTATGGCAAGAATGCATAATATTGTACTGTATGTCAGAGTGGCACCAAATTTTAGCGATTGTCATGTAGATAGATAGAAATTACCATTGCAATTATCATCTTTGCTGACAAGACATGATACTGACAATTTCTGTCCTCTTGTTCCACCAAGTGAAAACCGCATTAAGTGAACAACAGAACATATGGGATTAATTCCAATAGAAACCGGCCCGACCCCCAAACTCCACTTTTTGACGACACATAACTATGTTGTAGTAAAAATAACATCTTAATTTTATGATGGTACATGCACACAATTAATACTTAAGAGAAATAGAGAAATACAGTCGCCAAGTTAATGTCCATTCAAATAATGGACTCAACTCCCTCCCCCTCTTCTCACACTACACTGCTGGCTCTTCCCTCTCTGAGAAATTTTTGGGGAAAACCACTAAATTTTAATAAATAATACCTCAAACTAAAGTTAGGATAATACAATTGACATTGCTGGATTCCTTGTAAGACCAGGAATATTTTGAATATAAATGTCATATATTTTGCACAAAAGAGAACATATTTACTCAGAGTAAACATTTTATCTAAAATTTGTATGTCTAATGCAAAATATATGATGTTTATATTCAAAATGATCACCAAATTGTAAGAATTCCAGCAATGTAAATTATATTCTGGCCGGGTAATTTGTATGAATTTTATGAGCTAAAACAAATATCATCAGTTAATAAAAAAAAAAATTCTTCACAACACTATCTGTCAATCAAAGTACCCCACCTTGCCTTCCCCCTCTTCCAACCGCGGTCAGTCCCAACCCTCCCCCCCACCCCCCACCAATCCTCCCTTCAAGAAAAGGTTGGGTGAAAAAACTAAATTTTAACATTTTGTATTAAATAATACCTCAGATTAAAGTTAGGATAATATAATTGACATTGCTGGATTCCTTGTAAGACCAGGAATATTTTGAATATAAATGTCATATATTTTGCACAAAAGAGAACATATTTCCTCAGAGTAAAAATTTTATCTAAAATTTGTATGTCTAATGCAAAATCTATGATGTTTATATTCAAAATGATCATCAAATTATAAGAATTCCAGCAATGTAAATTATATTCTGACCCGGTAATTTGTATGAATTTTATGAGCTAAAACAAATATCTTCAGTTAATAAAATAAAAAATATTCTTCACAGGGTAACAGATGGTCGGTCGGTCCCTCCCTCCCCCCACCCCCCACCAACCATCCCAAGGAGATGTGTGGGAAAACCAGAATATTTAACTTTTTAGTAATAAATAATACCTCAACCTAAAGTTAGGATAATATAATTGACATTGCTGGATTCCTTGTAAGACCAGGAATATTTTGAATACAAATGTCATATATTTTGCACAAAAAATAACATATTTACTCAGAGTAAACATTTTATCTAAAATTTGTATGTCTAATGCAAAATCTATGATGTTTATATTCAAAATGATCATCATATTGTAAGAATTCCAGCAATGTAAATTATATTCTGGCCGGGTAATTTGTATGAATTTTATGAGCTAAAACAGGCAGTCAGGCAGGGTGGCGGGTGGGGCAAATCTAAAAATAGCGTCTCGAGCTGGACACTCACCGCGTATATGTGGAAAAAACCCGCGTTAAGTGAAAGTTCAGCTCTGGCGAGGCACCGCGTATACGGTAAATAAAACGCGCTAAGTGAAACTGCGTTAGGCGGGGTAATACTGTATATAAATAAATAAATAACGAAGTGATAACCTTGGTAACATTCTGATATGTTCTTACTATACTACTACCACACAGTATAACCTTTTTCTTCTCTATTTTTAATTTCTTTCTAGTCTTATTTTTTCCGGCCCCGTTGTGGGTCGTTTGCCCTGTGCCCGGGTAGGCTAGTTCCGGGGAAAAAAAAAAATAAAAACTTCCTTGAGACAAATGCATCACGTGCCTACAAGTGAGCTCAGGCTCTCAACTGGCTCAGCCATGTTAACATGGTTATTATTATCCACTATGAATCTGTATTTTTATGGCTAAATAAACTGTTTCAATATCAATATCAAAGGAACATGAGAGAGAGAAGGGAGGGGAAGCTCATTCCACCACCCATCCAACTGCCCTGTCTCCCACACATAATTAACTTACTGCTTTTAATTTGTCAAATTTTCTATACGGGGTATTTCTAAATATCATTCGAGATTTAATGATATTTATATTATATTTTCTTCATCTCCAAGTCAAATTAGAGCAGTGAGATGACATTTCAACCACTTCAGCCAAGAATTATGAATTTTTTACCACAAAATTTAGAAAAGAAGTAGTAATTGAAGTATCCGTGAATTTAACCCGAATGCCCAGAGCAATGTAACGATTACACCCGCTTGACCCCCCCCCCCACGCTGGCATATTT